CAACCTTGTGCCCTAGAGCCTGTACTGTTTGCCTCAGTGCCGCAGCCAGTGGTTCTCACACCTGAGCATGTGTCAGAATCCCCTGGGGGGGCTTGTGAAAACCCAGTCCACTGCCCCCACCCTCAGAGCTCTGCATTCAGTAGGTCTGGGGTGGAGCCCGTGAGTTTGCATTTCTAAGAAGCTTGCAGGTGATGTTGCTGCTGCAGGTCCGGGGACCACACATTGAGGACCCCTGTTCCAGGCTGTCAATCACTTTCTCTATTGAAATTGTCTGTTGTCTCTCTCCGCAGCTAAGAGGAGAGTTCCACCAGGACAGGAGCTTTTTCTCCTTTATGTCCATGTTCCCAGATCCTAGGAGAGTAGTTCTGACAGGTGGTATGACCTCAGTAAATGTTTACTTGAATGAATGAATGAGGAAATGTTTGTGACCTGTTATTCAAGTGTGTTTTTGCCTGAAATTTCTGTGTATTTCAAGAAGAATTCTCAGATTTTTATCAGTCACATAACTGACTAGCATGTAGGGGAAGTGCACTTAATGGTTTTGTAAGGTTAACTGTTGACTGCATGATTTTCAAATACTTTGAAGACAAAAACCACGTTTACCTTAACAATCTTTGTAAAGCAGAGCACTCAGTCTCTCAGGTCATAAGTCATTACAGTCATGTGCCACATAACGACATTTCGGTCAACAGTGGACCACATCTTAGGATCGTGGTCCTATAGAGTATAAAGGAGCAGGGTGTGTCTAGGTTTGTGTGATCACACTCTATGATGTTCACGTAAGGAAGAAATTGCCAAATGATCCATTTCTCAGAATGTGTCCCCGTTGTTATGTGATGCATGAGTGTATATGAAAAGTGACTTTTGGCCTTGTAGCACTTTTGCACTTTGCTTTCCTAAAATAGCATCTTCCTTGGTGTGAAGTGACTCTATCATAAATGTGATGGTTAGAGGAGTTGTGCTACATTCACGTTCCAGCATCAAAGCTTCTTTCAAAGCCTACCAGGAGTGGAGGAGTACAGGAAAAGGTTGTGGTTTCTCATCACAGCCAGTTTTGCTCTGTGTCACCTGCGACCAGGCCTACAGTAGGAAACAAGACATTTCTGATGGCTTGAGAAATTTCATTCTGTCTAGGAGTTAAAATTTGGCTGAATAGTATTTTCACATATGTTAGTTTTCTTTTGAAATAGGCACTACTAATAGTTTTTATTATAATAGGCTATATATGAAGCTATTCAAAACCTGGATAAGAAATTTGATGCCATCCATGCAAACGTTTCAAAAATCCACCATCTCCATGTGAAATCACTGTGGTAAAATCGTGTAAGTGTTCTTAAAAACTGTTGTCACAACTGTGATAAACCTCTGGTTTCTAAAATTGCTAATCAGCTAAAAGTGATATACAACTAGGAACTGTGAGTTTAGTAAGACTGATCGAAAGTTGCCTTAGTAGCAGATAGCGGAATAAGGCTCTGCTGGAAGAAAGCTGAAGTTTAGGTCCGATAAATGCATGACAGTGACCATTTTAATGGTTATAACTATAATACCTGAAATACAATTAAAATGTAGGGTGGAAGAGGCATAAAACTTCATTATATAATCAAAGCAGAGCCTTTATTTTTAATAATACAAAGCAATGTTGCATGGAAAATAAATATTAATGTATATGTACTAATTTTATTTCCTTTTTTACTCACCCTTGATTTACGGTGGGTTTGTGTCATTTCAGAAGCCATTTGGATATGCTTTCAGAGATTAGAAGTCCTGGCTGTCTAGAAGACGTAAATCCCAGACAATGAGGAAGCAGGCGTCTCCCAGTTCATTCTCCTACCGTGTAAGTTATAGCCCAACTTCACCAGTGCGGAGGTGGGAGATGGATTCCCAGAGCATCCCCGAAGGGGGGTTTAATCAGTCAGAGGAATCCCAGGAAGCAGAGCAGGAGTCACTGGTCATGGAGCAGGAGCAGAAGGAGCGTGAGATGTTCTTCAGCCTGAGTCCTCGACGCTTGTCTGCAGATGCATATCAGCCTCCTTTCGTGCCTGATAACCCTCTGCCGGGCACTTCTTTACTGCCCTCCGGTACCAGCCCAGGGGCAGCTAAAAACAACAGCATCCTTCCAAATGCCCCAGCTTCCGGGGTAGCACCTGCAGTCCTGCTGACCCAGGGAGAGTCCAGTTCAGTATATACCCGTGAAATGAAGAGTCACTCAGTCTTCCTGGGGAAGAGACATACTGTACCATCTATCTACGGCCCTTCTGGTTGTGGTGAGTTTGCAGTGACACACATTACATATAGCACTATTGAACCATATTCATCAGCATCCTTGATGCAAGGTAGTGGAAGCGGTGTGTTTTCTTTTGAGGGATGGTTTTAGGTGATATTCGTAATGATAACTTTTATCGAGTGCCTTTTATGTGTGGGACTCTAAGGTTACTTCTGAAGCTGCTTCTGTTGTTTGGGGGAGGTCAGATGGGATGCTCCTGTGCAGCCATCCTTACAGCATCTTCACACAGGCCTTCACTAGATTTTGCAGTTGGAGTCCTGAGTCCTTGCTGGGGTATTTTACAGAAGATTCGAGGAATGAGACCGTTACTCCCTACCTAATAATATCTCTTATTACAGCATATTGAGCAGGTCAAGTGTGATGTGTCTTTCTTTCTCCCCATTGAAGCTACAAGTTCACTAGTAGAGCCTGACCCCTATGTCTCTGAGGATCCTTCAGCCTGGTCCGTCGATAAAGTGATCCTGTTTCTGCAACATGCAGATCCTCAGATATTAGGCCCCCTCGCCAACCTGTTCAGGCACCATGTAATGTACCTTTTTCTCCAGTTTTCCTAACCTAATGCCTTTGAATGACCTCTGTGCAGGCCTTTCAGTTGGATAGAGAGTTGTGTGAATGGTGGGGGCTCCCTATCAACTGATTTTTCCATATGTGAGAAAGGTTAGATCCTTAAATGGTAGGTTAATGATCTGTTCTTTCAATGGGTGTCCAAGTGCGTAATATACTAAACAGTCTCAAGTACCCAAGAGGTGATGATTCAGCTTCGCCACCCTCAGGTGGACCTCCCTTTTTTGATGACAGATACAAGGGTCCCCCGGCCACACATACACACACCTGCTCCCGGCTCAGCCCCAGGGCCATGTGGAGGAGGGGGTGACCACAAGCGGTAACAGGGTGGCCTTCTTGTTATGACACCCAATGAATCCAGCAACTGATCCCATTGGCTCTGTTAATCTTATATGGTTATTCACCATTTGTGATGCCGATACCCTCCTGCTTGCAAAGAAACCTCATGGGCTACATTTTTATAAGTTTTCTTTTCTCTTAATTTCTGGTTGTACTTAGGAGAAAAAGTATAGAAGTTGCCTGACAACGGTCGTTTTATAAGGGATTTCAGGTCTTTCCAGACAGTGATACATGATTAAGTAAAGTTTTATTTTTAAACTGGAACTTGTGACAATGAAATATGCTTCAGCAGCGGAAGTTGGTCCATCAACATAACAGGGACTTTTAGGAGGATGCTCCCTGACTATCAACTAATATTTTGGCACTGTGTACTAACAAATAAAATTTGGTCACCACATGTCCGATGTACCATTTTCACTATGGTGAGAAAATCAGTAATTCGTTTTAGTATCTAATTGGCCTCGGACAACGAAGTGGGTTTCAACATAAGCACAGCTGTGTATAGCACACTCCCAGTTTGCATTGATGTGGGTTTACTCTCATTGCCAGCCCTGCTCAGAACGTTGACTGTCTGAAATTCATTTCTTCCACTTATACTTTTTCCTGTTTGTTGGAAATATGTAGTATTTTATTCAACACCCACTATTTAAAATTAGGTAGTTTGACACAGTTCGTTTTTTAAGTTTTAGGTTAAATTTCCTTTTTCTTAAAATTCAAAGTGAGTTTGTAAGTTATCAAATGATGCATCAGTGTCCAAATTATATTTTTAATAGTTTTAATAAAGTAGATGCATATTCCAAGAATATACTTCTGGGATGAGCTGCTCTCTAGTTCTTTTTATTTGTTGTTATATATAAAGAAGTAACCTCTTTCTGATGAAATATGAGAGCATTATTAATTAGTATAATTTCTTTCTCTCTGTAGGAAATTGATGGGAAGGCCCTGCTACTACTCACGACTGATGTGATGATGAATTATATGGGGCTGAAGCTGGGGACAGCCATGAAGCTATGCCACTACATTGAAAGAGTTAAAGAAGAAATATTCTACTTCAATTGAAAAAAATGTGCGATTTAAGATTGGGCTTACTTCTAGGGGGACCAGTGCCTTCTTGGTGTAAGATCATTTTTCTGCCCTTACTAGTTTTTGTTTTGTGAAAGTATCATCTAAAAATGTTATGACAAGAATTGCAGAACTATATTACAGTTCAGTCTAGTTCTTTAAAATCCATTTAACATGTTAGTGTTTGCATATTTAAGTTGGAAGTTCATCCTTTATGTCTGCTTATTATTTTCATTGTATAGTCTACAAATATACTTCATGCAGGAAATAGTGAAAAAACTTTGGCTTTGGTTCAGTTTTACATCTGGAACCAAAACAACTAAAAGAGGAAATATCAGGGATTGACAACTTCTATAATTAAGTCCATGAGAATTTTTCCTCAGAAGAGAATTTAAAGATGCACGTGTAGATATCATCTCCCTCTCATGTGTTTTATCTGTCTGATGCTGCAGTGTCCTGTTCATGTTCTACCATTTGTTGTAAATGCCAATAAAATGCTCACCTGGGGCAAGAATGTTCATTTTCTTTTTAGAAAGACAAACGTGCCTTAGACATGAATGCAGCTATTGAAAGGATGGCTTCACCTGTGTTATTCCTTATATGTTAGAAGTCGAGATTCTTACTTAAACTTAGTCTTGTTTCACATTGTTTGTAGGAAGGTGCTGTGTCCAACTGAACAGTCCTCAGGTGTTAGTATAAATACTGTTTTTCTGTTTTCTGATTTTAAAATATAATAAAGTTAAATAACTGCAATGATTGATGTCAGAGACTCAGAATTGAGTTTACTTACCTTCCCTGTACTACACTAATGCGTGAATTAGTTAAAATTTTTAAAAAGCCACTTTAGTGGGTTTGTGGCTTTTTACATCAAATACTAGAGTTTTAAAATCTGCCCTGGTTCTGCTGGTAAACAGATGCCTAGGAGCAAAGGGCTGATCTCTTACCAGGGCCTTGAACGCGACCCCAAGGGGCCCATAAGCAATTCAATCGATGAGCTTTATCTGTGCTCCAAAGCTTTCTTACTTCAAATATTACTGATTCCGTGAGCGTGCTAGAAAATGCCAGTTCCCGCATATACCTCATCCTGCCTGAGTCATACATCTGGCTGGCAAGTCTGGCTGCTCTTTTACCATTGCGACCCAGAAGCTGTCCCCCTGATACACCTGTACTTGTCCCTCTGTCTTCAGATGGCCCAGCTTCTACTGGAGACAGTGGGGCCCTGACTGAGGCTCCAGGGTTGATAGTCAGCTGGCTGGAACGGGGTGTCAACTTGAATGATCTGAGCCTTGAGTGATTCAGTGCCCCTCTTTTTTCCTGTAAGGTTTGTACATTTTGAGTCCAGAGACTATCATGTACCTTATCTTTCCTGTGAGTTTTCCAGGCGTTTAATGTGATATTTCCTCTAGCTTTGCCTCTCAGTTCATCTTTTGACCCTCTCTAGCCAGCAGAATTTTGCACCTTGAGCTCTAAGACCTTCCAGGCACACCCAGCATTTGTTTTGTTCTTCCACCAATGTGATTTCTTATCGCTGGAATGTCTTAGAGAATATGTCCTGGAGTGGGATTGTCCAAACTTTTAAACCCAGGGCTCCATCCATCAGAGTAAAAATGCCATATGCTTATGTACTGTGCAAAATTAATACATAAATTCTGAGACTAGTAATTGGGAGGAAAAGCACTGCTTTTTCAGGCTACACAAGGGACGGTACTCACAGTTGGCTGAGCAAACAGTCAATTTCAATCCTTCCAAAGCCTAATGCTGGGACTTGCTTACAAAGTCCTCTTGGGCAGATCCCGGAGGTGAGGGAGTGCTCGAGGATAGAGAGGAGGGACAAACAGGGGCCCACCTTTGGAATGCGTGGTGGACAGTTTTCCTTCCTCTACCTCCCTGCTGTTTGCCCTGTTTTGTCCAGTTGGTCGATGAGATTGAACCTTAAAGGCGACTCTCCTGGGCCTGGCTTGTTAGCTGACTTGGTCGGAGCATGGTGTTATAACACCACGGTGAAGGGTTTGGATCCCCATGCCGGCCAGCCGCCAAAAACAGAAAAAGTAAAAGCAACTGTCCCCAGTAAGTACATGCTGAGATTTAGCTTGGTTGTTCTCCATGCTACAGGAGAGGCAACTTTAGTGTTTTGGGGTGGCCTTGTCTGCCTTCAGGGATACTGTCAGCACTGAGGGGCAATCCTTAAGAAATAACGGACCTACCTCCTCCCCTCGAACTACATCGTATATCACTGAGGTGAACATTCATGAAAGGAAGAACCTCTGGGTGCTTATGATGCAGCATGTGAGTCAGGCCCAAGTTAAGCAAGTGATGTCTCATCACGATTTGGTAATTCTGTGTCCTGCTCTTCAGCCAAAGAACCAAAGCAGTTAAGTGCATTCATTTGTGGAAATGATCCCTCAGGGGCAGGGGAGTGGCCAGGGCAGAGTTGGGGCCTCCACAAGTCCCGACCCATCTTTGGCCTCACCCCTCTGCCTGGCTTTGGTGGCCTTGGATGCTCAAGTCCACTGATGTCATGGGTGAGGTGGGGTGTACCTACTCCATTGGGTGCAAAGGCCAAGGCATTGGGAACAGGACGAATATATTACACCCTTTATATTCATATAAGGTGAGAGGAATTGAGCTTTTCTACATTTAATTATGGATTCATTATTGTTTAGTGTTCTGAAGAGCTGCACATTGTCGATACTTGTCACCATCCCAGCTCGTGTATGTTCCTTTCTGTCCTTACAGGCATGAAGCCTGGAATCAGCATTTCCCAAGGTTCTTTGCCAGTAGAGGTGGGTTCTTGGATTCTGCCACCAGAGGCACTCTGTCGTGATTTTAAATGGAGGAAGTTACGCAGAAGCAGTTTTCCTTTGGGAGCTGCACAGGACAGTCCTTAGAGCATCAGCAAAAGGCAGATGTGGGGCTTTCCAGCAGCGGGTCTCATCTTGAGATTCACCTGCTTTAGTCGTGCACGCAGCCGAGGTCATTGGTGGAGCTCTCCTGCAATCCTTGGACTCTTGGATTTCGAGAAACTTCTTCCCTCACCTTGGCCCTCTGTCTTCCAGCAGCTGTGTAAGCTTCTGATTTTGTATGAAATCACTTCCATTCTGAAGACTTAGAATGGCCCGGGTGTTCCTGGTCAAACCCTGACTTTTCCACCTTCCTCAGAAATGCCTGCCCACTGTTCTGAGGGAAAAGTAAAATTTCACAGAGAGGTGCCTTCAGATTATCTAGTGTCAGTAAACTAATGTATTTCATCAAATCTAAGACCCCTTTGATTGTAAGGTGTGTAACTGTGTAATGAACTAAATAGAAAGGAAAATGCTGCCTGTTAATCTATCACTCACCATCAGTTATACCGTGCAAACCAGTTTCATTGGTGTTAAACAGGTGAAAAAATGGGAGGCTTAAAACATGTAAAATGCTCTTTCAGAAGCAGAACAGGTGCTTTTAAACGGTTAATGCAAAGAAGTTGCATTAACTGAAGACTAGTAATGTTAAGTCCAAGGGAACAGTAAGAAAACACCAGAGCTCATCCAAGCTTTGCAACAACCATAGTACTGATTAAAACAAAAGCAATCTAATCAGATCTGCCCAAAATTCAAAATTACCAAGAAGACTTTGAAATATGAAGTGATATCCACTGTCACAAGCAGAAAGCCTCACCATAAATGTATATTTGACTTTTAGGTGTCAGCTAATTCTAGGATAAGGACATCACACGTAGCAAGATATTTAACCATTTCCTTGCATCCAGCAAGGAGAAAAAAGAGGAAGTTGGAATGATTATTACTTAGCAGATTATTAAGAGACATGTCCTCCAAATGTTAGGCATAGAGCTTGTTTAGATCCTGATGAAAAGAAGCCAACAGTAAAAGGGCATATACGAGGCACTATAGGAAAACGTGAATGCCCAGGGGACATTAGATGACTCTAAAGGGTTATTATTCATTTGTAACAATGGTGCTACTGGTATTACAGTTTTATTTTGAAGCAGAGATGTCCTTTTCTCCTCCAAAAGCGTACAAAAACTTTAAAGGTTAAGTGAGATGACATTTGGGATTGTTCTGACATAATCCAGCACGGGAGGAGGTGCAGATGAAATGGGATTTATGCCGATATCTGTCAAGGCCAATGACACATATGTGGGAGTCCATTACGCAAATCCCTCTAATGTATTTTGGAAGTTTCCATAAAAAGAAATTGAAGGAAAGTATCCAGAATATGAAGATAAACCTCTATATTGTTTTTCACAGATGTCTAAAGTCAAGGAACATTCAATCTACAGAGAATTTCAGTAAATTAATGGTAAATATTTAGACTTCTTCCTTGAGGTTGGTTAATACTGCCCCCAAACAGTTCAGCCGCCGACCGCTGTGAAACACCTGTTCTTCATGATACGTTCAAAGACAGGAAACGAGGTTGAAGTACTAGACGTAAAAGCGAAATGGTATAAAGCATAGACGCATCTCTCTGTCACCACATACTATTGGGAGGCATATGGAAAACACAGCGAGGAAGTGAAGAAACAAACACTAGAGTAATTTGCATGTGGCAGGTCTGCCATTCTGTTGACTGAAGATGCAGAGCCAAGAGTAAAGGGGCATATACGAGGCACTATAGGAAAACGTGAATGCCCAGGGGACATTGGATGACACTAAAGGGTTATTATTCATTTGTAACAATGGTGCTACTGGTATTACAGTTTTATTTTGAACAGGAGATGTCCTTTTCTCCTGCCAAAGTATAATAAAACTTTAAAACATAATTGCAATGACATCTGGGATTTTTCTGACATACTCCAGCACGAGAGGAGGTGCAGGTGAAATGGGATTGGCTTTATGCTGATACCTGTGAAGGCCAATGACACATACGTGGGAATCCATTATGCAAATCTTTCTAACGTATGTTGGAAGTTTCCACAATTAAAAAAAATTGAAGAAAAGTACCCAGAATATGAAGACCAAGCTCTGTATTTTTTCCCACAGAAGTCTAAAGTCAAGCAACAGTCAATCTACAGGGAATTTCAGTAAGTTAATGGTCAATATTTAGACGTCTTCCTTGAGGTCGTGCTCTCTCCATTTAGTCATTCTAGTTACTATCTCTCTACTTGTATTTCCTTTCCAGACAAGGGGATCTATTTACTCCTTCCATTCCTTTCTCCTCATATGTAATCCTCTTGCATATACCTACAAAAGCCCCTCATAATTCATATTTGCTAATATATCCTGTTCCCATGTTCACAAGTCTTCCCCTTCCTGGAGAGTCCACTAAAGTCAACATCACCGTAAATACTGTCACTACCAGGTGGCTTCCATTTATCATAAGATCCCTGTTTCCACCTTGGTTGTTGACACACTTTGGAAGAACATGTTCTTTACCTTAATTGTCCTAATCAGCCGTTGTCACCTCTTGCAGGGTGATGGAGACAGAAGGGATTACTCAGAGCCCATTTATCCAGAGCAATGAGAGTCTCAAAGGTGACTGTACCCAGGGAGAACTCTTTCAAGGGAGAAAGGCCCCAGGCACAGCTCCGTATCAGGTTTTCTCTCAGTTTTTATTGTGCGGGCAAGAAAGTTACAGAACATACACAGGGGGTTCATCAGTCATGGTGAAAATATGAACAAACTGGCTACATGACAATTTTCATTTAAGCAGGTATAACTTAAAAATAGTTCAAGTAATCTACCATCAATAGGATTCATAAAACTTAGCTATGTGTCATACAAAAGAAACAATGGATGATCGTCATGGCAATGCTTAGTTC